ATAATAAACCATGTGGTTGTCAGATTCAAAATGGCCAATACCAGTCCATTTCATCTCACTAATGCCTAAGGTATTGATGTTTATATGTTCCATTTCATTTTTGACAATTTCCAATTTTCCTAGATTCATAGTACATATCTATCCTATATAGATAATACACCTATTATTGAAAATTCCGTGTACAAATTACTAATGGATGTTTACAGCTGTTTCTCTTCATTTTGAGTTGTTCCCCATCAGCAAATGAAGGTCCCACAGACTTTACTACCACCGGCTTTACTCCATTCATGTAATCACAGTCAATTCTACTTTGAGGAGGCAGCTCTTCCCCAGTTGCATTTTGAGTGCCTTCCAACCTGAGGGGCTCATTTTCCAGCACTATACATGACTGGTAGCGTAGTGGTTACGAATTGGTTATGAATCAGACTGCAAACCTTAAGGTCAGCAGTTCGAAACTCCCAGCTGTTACATGGGAGAAAGATGAGGCTTTCTGCTCCCATAAAGATTACAGCCTCGGAAACCCTGTACAGGGTCGCTATGAGTCGGAACCGACTCCATGGCACATAACAACAACAATACCTGACAGTGTTTCTGTGCTATTCATGCAGTTTTCAGTGACTAAATATTCGGAAGTAGTTCATCACTCCTTCTTCCTAGTCTGTCTTCATCTGGAAGCTCATCTGAAACCTGTCCACTGTGGGTGACCCTGCTGGTATTTAAATACTGATGGTATAGCTTCCAGAATGACAGCAACTCACAAGCCACCAGAGTATGACAAACTGACAAGATGAGTGCTCCAAAGCAAATCCTTAAGCTTTTTATCTTAATTCAAATATCTTCCACCATGATAGGTTTATATGCTCCTAGACTAAGACCTCTTTTGGGGGCTTGTTTTTCACTAGGTCTTCAAGTCTTAGCAAGCCTTGAAAAAGTTCCATTTGAAAGGGCTTTCAGGAGGCCGAATGCTGATTTCGTATCGAACAGCTTCACAAACAAGTACTGGAATGCAGTTAGCCACCGGGCCCCTGCCATCATCTTTGACTTCTATCTGCGGCTCACAGGAAGGAAGCCCAGGTGAGACACTGAGTCATAGATTTTGAGGGTGTCATTGCACAGAGCTTAGAACCCCAAAGTCCTTAGCCCTCTCTTCAGCTGGTGATCAAAGGAGACAACTAAACCTGGCATATAATGTTTTGGGATAATCAAAATAGTAAAAAATCCCTACCTTAAAAATAATCTGTTATCCTAAAGGAAGCTAAATATTAAGAAATGTGATTGGTGGATTCAGCATCCCTTTCCAAAAAAAAGCATGTGAGGCTCTGTCACTGGAATAACATGCATGGGGCCAGAAGTTTTACATGCATGATGATCTCATATTTATTTTTAAAACAATCCGAGGGAGACTATTATAATCCCAGTTTTACAGACAAGAAAACAGACGAAGGAAAGAAGTTAAAAGGAGTCTCAAAAGAAGTGACAGAGAAGGGTTTGGAGAAAGCTGAGTCTCAAGACTAGTGTTCTTAATTGGTTTTACTGCCACCTAGTAACAAGTCCTGGTATGGTGCTGTGGGTTAATGCACTGGATTGCAAGGTCCTTTGACCCATAAGGTTGGCTGTTCAAGCTCACCAGCCGCTCCTCGGAAACCCTATGCTGGGTCACTATGAGTCGGAACCAGCACTTAACAACAACAACAGAGATAAATTAGGAGTCCTGGTGTGGCACTGTAGGATACGCACTGGACTGTTAACCCCAAGGTCGGCAGCAAACCCACCAGTTGTTCCTTGGAAGTCCTGTACATGGTTGTTTATGAGTTGGAATTGACTCAACTGCACTTAATAACAAGAGATGAGTAAAGAAATGAAAGGAAGCATACGAATGCTGAGGCTGCGCTGGCATCATCTAGCTGTGTGGCACAGACTTATCTTTCTGCATCATTTGAATAAAATTATTCTTGTCTGAGGAATCATCATTCTTTCTTTCCTGTGATCAAGAATTTAGTGTTGCGACAGGCTCGGAACTGCCTACCTGAGAGCTGCCCACAGAGGGCCAGCGGGGGAGCCGAGTGGGTCAGCCGGGGCCAACAAGAACCTGCAAGAGGACGGCGAGAAGGCGGTGCGGGAGGTGAAGTTGATGCTGTAGGGTGCTGGGGAGTCCAGAAAGAGTACCATCATCAAGTAGATCAACATCATCCCTGAGGATGGCTACTCAGAGGAGGAATTATGTTTGTGGGAAATGGCTTGATTTGTGTTGTGAGAGGAATTTAAAAACTGATCTTTACGACAGAAAAATCTAAAATCCTTCTAGATCATTCCTCTCCCCATGTATGTTTGTGTGTAATCTTCTATGCATTTATATCCATGTATGTGTATATAACAATGAATAAGGAAGACCATAGAAGAACTAGTGCTTTTGAGATATAGTGTTGGAGAAGAATATTAAATGTACCATGGACTGCCAGGGGAACAACCAAATCTGTGTTAGAAAAAGTACAGCCAGAATGCTCCCTAGAAGCCAAGATGGCAAGACTTCATCTCTCATACGTCAGACATCTTATTAGTCCCTAGAGAAGGACACCATACTTGGTAAAGTGGAGGGTCAGCAAAAAAAAAAAGAGGAAGACCCCCCAAGGAGATGAAGTGACACATTGGCAGCAACATTGGGCTCAACAACCGTGAGAATGGTGCAGGGCGAGGCAGTATTCTGTTGGGCCAGGTGCTGTTTTAAATCAGAGCTGACTTGATGGCATCTAGCAACAGCTTCAAATTTTCTTCACCAAAAATGTTCCATGAAAATCTGTTATTTTCCCAGGACGAATTCTACGAACACAATCACCACCGTAAACTCACTTTACCTATTCATAAAAATGAAGATAAATACAGACCTAAAAGGATTGTTAAGGAGATTAGTGAATAGTTCTACTTTGACATATCAGCACTGTGCTTAACATAGAGTATGTTATCAACAAATAAACACTTTCCTCTTAATTCTGCATTATAATTTTATGACTGCCTTCAATTCACTATACCTAATACAGTCAACACTTCTGCCTAGAAGTTATATACCAAGATCTAGGATCCTAGCTTTATTTTTTCATATCCAATAATATATAATATGGGAGAAAAATAAGTTAATTCTCTATCTCTGAATTCAAAGAATGAACAGTATTAAGGGCTGATGGTGATTATGTGCCATGGAGTTGGTTCCGACCCATAG